ATTGTGGGACTAAACATGTACAGTAGCTATGTGGCATTTAGGTTTGGAAAGATTCTCAAAGTTCAGCAGATCTCAGTAGAAAAAAACAAAAAAAGTAAATGATGTCTGATGGTTCATTTTGTGCTTCTGTCACTAAACCAAACTTTGACTTTAACAGTGAAAGAAGCTCATTGCTGTATATTTTATTTATCTGTTTGGTAAACTGAGACGTACATGAAGCTGATTGTTGTAGGAGCACTATGGGGTGTGGGCTGCTACATTCTCCCTCTGAGGCTGCAGATGTTGAAGTCCACACTCATTCTTTTGTCGGCAGGTGATATGTGTGGTGCAGCCTGTCACTTATTGGAGAACGTTTCCTTTTCTTTGCAGCAGGCATCAGTCAACATCAGCATCTCTATCACAGCCTTGGAAATGATGTCATTCTGCCCTGTGATAATGTAACGTCATCTGAAACAAGATGCTTCCTCTTTAACTGGCTTTACAACCCCAGTTTAGGCTCTGTGACTACATTCAAGGTTAATAAAGGAAAAGTTTATCAGAACCCACCTGGAGGATCCAGGCTGAGTCTGAGCAATAACTGCTCTCTGATTATCAGCACCATCACTGCTGAGGATGTTGGTCGTTACACTTGTCGACGAGACCAGGCCCCTGACACAATTGTTCATCTAAATATCCTGACCAGTGAGTATTTTGACTGGGATGACATTTCGTCACACTGAAGACTTGTTTATTGCTGCATCTGACCATAAAAACCTTTGAATGCTTAAAACTAAGACGATACCAAACGATTAAGAGGAACTTGTTGATTATTGTTCTAAAGTCCGTCACTATGAAGCAGATGTTCCACATTTTACACTTTAAAAACTTTTATCATTTGTTTTCTCTCAGTCTCTCCATCTCCAGCAGACACTGATCCAGAGACAGACAATGAGGTCACATTAACATGCTCTCTGTGGAGATACGATACAAAACGTCCTTGTCCACAGAACAGCATCCTCTGGGTGGATGAGGAGGGAACTGTGCTGACTGGTGAAGGTGACGGGTACAAGTTCAATGGACAGACGGACTGTGTTTCTCATCTGACTGTGAAACGTCAGAGCAACCACAACAGAAGATACACCTGCCAGTTTATTGGAGCAAACAGTGTGAAGATAGATGCTCACTACTCACCTGTCTACACAGGTAACACAGAAAAATATAATCAACACAAGATCCTGGTAACATGTGAACCAGTGTACTGATAGAAATGAAGCCGTGGTTCTTACTATAGTTTCCATAAAGTGCAAACGCTGAAGTTACATGATTGTCCCTATAAATTACAATGTAAAAGTATCTTTTGAACAATGTGTTGATGACATACACACTGTTGTTTCTTTCTATTACTCTCTGATTTAAAATGTGTACTTCATCAACTGACATATTTTCGCCTCCTGTCCACAGATCCTCCTACGTCATACGTCTCCTACATCATGTTGAGTCTTCGTGTTACAACACTGGTCCTAATGATCGGAATCACAGTTGCTGTGATCACAAATAGAGGTAATTCACATCATAATAGGACCAGTTAACATACATCAGAGNAAATATAAAATGCAAAATGTACAATAAGTGTAATCATATATAATCATTTATAGGTATAGTCTGATCTGTTCAATGAAACAGCAGCATCAAAAATGATAACATTTTATTTTGTCTCTCTTTTCTCTGCTGTCTGTCTCTAATGATCTCATGGTTCCCCACTGAGAAAGATGCTGTTGTTACAGATGTAATTGTACCATTGCCTTTGGTTCTTATTGGGGGTTTGCCTCTGAGGGAGCATTTTTAGTGTGAAAGCAAGAAAAAATGGCACGTTACCTAAATCACATGAAACATTTCTGTAGCACGGCCTTTTTTTTAAATAGCTGTGCAGTATTGTCAAAATAATTACATGTCTTGCCTGGAGCTTTCTGATAAACCTCCAGCTGATGCAAATTGTTGATTAGAGAGTTCGAACAGGGACTAGCAAGATTATATTTCTCCCATGTCAGCATCTCTTAATTGTCTCTCTGTCATTTGGCCCCTCCATATGTTTTTTCACTGAGGTGTCAAGATGGCCGTCCCTCTACAAGCTCCTGGTTTGGAGGAACAGAAGCTGGATGTATCGGTGAGCAAGACAGATAACCTGCATTTTTCTCTCAACACATCCGTTCTTCTTCTTTTCTACATTTACTTACCTACAAACATTCATTCTTTCCACTGTTTACATTACATCCCACATCTACACATGACCATCATACACAATGCTGACATTTTTATTCTCACTTCACTTTTCAGCTTCAACTTGTCCCTCATCAATCATACATCACTCACTTTACCTTGTCACACCTGTTTTACAACCACAAACAATCACATCACATCTTCAACCACAACCTGCCTTCAAACACACAACACACCAGCCTCCAAAAGCTCACACTTTTTGTCCTACCTGGACATCCAGCCAGTGTCTCTCCTCACTCTGTCCTGACCCTGGACGGAGCGCAGCTGTCAGCAGCGCACACCTACAGTCCGGCTCCACCACCTCGGACAACAAGCTCTCTGTCCTCCTCCTGCGGCTGCTGCTTGAGTCTTTTTCACTTGTCCTGCCTTCAACAGTCCACTCATTTCTATCATAAACTCTGTCCGAGCAGCAGATAATATTCACTGAGACAACACTAAGTCTCTATCAAGCTTTGGCCAGGAGAGCAGGTCAACAGATGGTCTCCAACCTTCATGGAGTGTTTCCACCCTGAACCACAACACTCTCTGGTTGTTGGGTCAACCGTGGTGGCCATCTCACTGCTCCTCTCCTCCGTCTCCATCACTACACCAAATGTAGCTGGAGAGCTGTTACCAAAACCTCTCTGATGATCTTTATCATCATTTTGTCTCCAACTATGTATCAGTGTGTATGTATTCTCTTGTTTTCTGAGTGTATCTAACACTAATCTTACCTCGCTCACTCTCTCTCTGGTTGAAAATCAGAAAATGTAACAGAAACACAAAACTTCTCCTAGTTTTAAACAAGTTCGGAGTAATTCTGCCCACAACAACATTGTGAGGTATTACTTGCCCTGTATGATGTAATAGACTTTAATTTGGGGTCAAATGTCTTTTTTTTGACATCGTCAGCTGAGGCATAAAAAGCAGTTCCAAAGTGTTGGATGTTTTACATGTTGTTGGCACATCCACAGGTCAAAAACACATCACCTGACAACAAGTTAACAATGTGTGACTCAGATTCATTAGGGAGAGAGTTACAGCACTGCTACTCACTCAGTGCTGGTTTGGATACACAACATTACAATGAATATCTGGCAATGACAAAACAGCATGAACTTTGTTTCTGAGAATTTTAATATAATTTAAGGTGCAGCCATACAAGGGTGTGACTCCCACTGAATGGAAACACGTTTGGGAGGAATCTCCAACCAAAAACTGCTGTTCATATGCTCACATGTGTATAATACAGACTTGAAAAAGTGAAACTATAATTTAACAGTGTTCTGTGAAATGGGAACCAGGACAAACATGGTAGAAGATT